CCCCTGGGACATGGGGGTGTCCGGGATTTCTATAACCCCTCCCCGGGGGTGGCGGGGAGAGGCCTCAAACCCTCCCGGGGTCGCTCTGGCAAGCGCTGTAGGAATGGTGGGGGCCACCCCAGGCCCCCCCACGCTGGAAGGCTTGCCCCAAGGAATGAAGAAACCCCCCCGGGATGAAGGGCCGGGGCTGGGGGGGTCCCTGTGCCCCCAGGTCCCAGCTCTCCCCTGGGACTGAAGCCCTCAGAGACTCCTCTGGTGGTGAACGAGGGGACAAAGCCTTTGCGGTGGGGTTTAGGAGAACCAATTACACAGAATTAGATAATTACGATGACAAGGGGGGAGTGGGGGACACAACCCCCCCAGGACAGCACCCAGAGTGAGGGGTGACAAGGGAACAGCCAGGGAGCAAGGCCTTGGCACCACGGTGTCACCTCAACCTGTCCCAAGGAGCATGAACCAGCCTGGGCACGGCCCCACGTGGCCACTTTCCAGTGGGATTTCATCCCCCAGAGACTCTTGTTTGGGGACTGAAGGGGTTTGGCTGAGGTAATTACACAGAATTAGGCTAATTATGATGACAAGGGAGGAATGGGGGACACAAACCCCACAGGACGGCACCGTGGAACCCACCTCCTCCTTCCCGGCAGCTTCCTACATCCCTCTGGGATCACTGAATGGGAACCTGCAATGGGAGAGGGACAGAACGGCATCAGTGGGGCTGGAGGAGGTGGCACCCGGTTCCCCCCCCACCCCTGAGCCCCCCCATCTCCCCTGGGACATGGGGGTGTCCGGGATTTCTATAACCCCTCCCCGGGGGTGGCGGGGAGAGGCCTCAAACCCTCCCGGGGTCGCTCTGGCAAGCGCTGTAGGAATGGTGGGGGCCACCCCAGGCCCCCCCACGCTGGAAGGCTTGCCCCAAGGAATGAAGAAACCCCCCCGGGATGAAGGGCCGGGGCTGGGGGGGTCCCTGTGCCCCCAGGTCCCAGCTCTCCCCTGGGACTGAAGCCCTCAGAGACTCCTCTGGTGGTGAACGAGGGGACAAAGCCTTTGCGGTGGGGTTTAGGAGAACCAATTACACAGAATTAGATAATTACGATGACAAGGGGGGAGTGGGGGACACAACCCCCCCAGGACAGCACCCAGAGTGAGGGGTGACAAGGGAACAGCCAGGGAGCAAGGCCTTGGCACCACGGTGTCACCTCAACCTGTCCCAAGGAGCATGAACCAGCCTGGGCACGGCCCCACGTGGCCACTTTCCAGTGGGATTTCATCCCCCAGAGACTCTTGTTTGGGGACTGAAGGGGTTTGGCTGAGGTAATTACACAGAATTAGGCTAATTATGATGACAAGGGAGGAATGGGGGACACAAACCCCACAGGACGGCACCGTGGAACCCACCTCCTCCTTCCCGGCAGCTTCCTACATCCCTCTGGGATCACCGAATGGGAACCTGCAATGGGAGAGGGACAGAACGGCATCAGTGGGGCTGGAGGAGGTGGCACCCGGTTCCCCCCCCACCCCTGAGCCTCCCCATCTCCCCTGGGACATGGGGGTGTCCGGGATTTCTATAACCCCTCCCCGGGGGTGGCGGGGAGAGGCCTCAAACCCTACCAGGGCTGCTCTGGCAAGCGCTGTAGGAATGGTGGGGGCCACCCCAGGCCCCCCCACGCTGGAAGGCTTGCCCCAAGGGGGCTGAAGAAACCCCCTTGGGATGAAGGGCCGGGGCTGGGGGGTCCCCGTGTCCAGCCGTGCCCCCAGGTGTCACCTCTCCCCTGGGACTGAAGCCCTCAGAGACTCCTCTGGTGGTGAACGAGCGGACAAAGCCTTTACAGTGGGGTTTAGGAGAACCAATTAGACAGAATTAAGTTAATTACGATGACAAGGGGGGAGTGTGGGGCACAACCCCCCAAGGACGGCACCGTGGAACCCACCTCCTCCTTCCCAGCAGCCTCCTACATCCCTCTGGGATCATGAAGTGGGAACCTGCAATGGGAGAGGGACAGAACGGCATCAGTGGGGCTGGAAGAGGCACCACCCGGTTCCCCCCCCACCCCCGAGCCCCCCCATCTCCCCTGGGACACGGGGGTGTCCGGGATTTCTATAACCCCTCCCCGGGGGTGGCGGGGAGAGGCCTCAAACCCTCCCGGGGTTGCTCTGGCAAGCGCTGTAGGAATGGTGGGGGCCACCCCAGGCCCCCCCACGCTGGAAGGCTTGCGCCAAGGAATGAAGAAATCCCCCCGGGATGAAGGGCCGGGGCTGTGACTTGTGGTGCCACCAGCTCCCAGGGTCTCCACACCAGGAGAAGCCTCACCGGCTCCGTTCCGGTGTCCTGCGACCCCGAGAAGGGACAATCAGAGTGAGGGGTGACAAGGGAACAGCCAGGGAGCAAGGCCTTGGCACCACGGTGTCACCTCAACGTGTCCCACACCAGCAGGAGCAGAAACCAGCCTGGGCACGGCCCCACGTGGCAACTCTCCGGTGGGATTTCATCCCCCAGAGACGCTTGTTTGGGGACTGAAGGGGGAATTGGGGACTTTGGCTGAGCTAATTACAGAGAATTAGGCTAATTATGATGACAAGGGAGGAATGGGGGACACAAACCCCACAGGACGGCACCGTGGAACCCATCTCCTCCTTCCCGGCAGCTTCCTACATCCCTCTGGGATCAGCGGAGCCGGAGCCTGCAACAGGAGAGGGGGCATCAGTGGGGCTGGAGGAGGTACCAGCCGGCTCCCCCCGACCCCTCGTCGCCCCTGGGACACGGGGGTGTCCGGGATTTCTATAACCCCTCCCCGGGGGTGGCGGGGAGAGGCCTCAAACCCTCCCGGGGCTGCTCTGGCAAGCGCTGTAGGAATGGCGGGGGCCACCCCAGGCCCCCCCACGCTGGAAGGCTTGCGGAGAAGGGGGTGGACACGCAGCCCCCACCCCCGGCCCGGTGATTCCCGGTCCCTGCGGGGACGCTCCCCCTTCCCCCGGCCCCGTGGCCCCCCCCCGGTGCCCGCGGGGAAGGCCCCAGGCGCGGCCTGAGGCGGACTACCCTTCCCAGCATGCACCGCGTCCCTCAGCACCTCACGCTGGCGGCGGGGCCCGATGAGAGGCGCAACGCCTCACCCCGCGCTGTCCCCGCTCCCCTCCCGGTCCCTGGCACCGGCCCCGGTTGGGGATGGCGGCGGCGAGCGGCAGATGGCGGCGGATGAAGCCGGGCCGCGCCACTTTCCCCCCTACCCGCCTCCACCGCCGCCATGACTGAGGGCGTCGCCGCGTCGCCGCGTGACGTCAACACGCCACGCCGCGCGGGGGGGGGGGGG